CCCTTTATTAACACAGAAGAATAGTAAGAGTGCATGTCTGTCTTACTCCATTTTCTGTTGCTATGACTAAATACATAGACTGGGTCATTTATAAAGACAAAGATTTTTTTCCCCTCACAGTTCTGGAAACTGGGGAGTCCAAGAGTGTGATGCCAGCCTCTAGTGAGGGCCTTCTTGTTGCGTCTTAACATGGAAGAGGGCATCTTATGGCAAGAATAAGCAGCTGTACCAGTTTGGGTCTTTCTTCCTTTTCAAACAAAACCATTGATGCCATCGGAGGTTACCTCTCTCATGACCTCCTCTAATCCTAACTACCTGCCAAAGGCTGCATCTCCAAATACCATTAGCATGAGTTTGGTAATTACGTTTTAAACATACGAACTTTTGGAAGACACATTCAAACCATAGCCCAAACCCGTGCAGTGGGCCCCTTTTGTGAACCACAGAGCATAACAGGCTGGGGATTCCTGAGGTTCACAGTATAATGAGGCAGATGGACCCTTACATAACTATTAACAGCTGGGCTTCCACAGGCACCATAACATAGATGCTAACGGTATACTAGAAGAGCTGAACATGAACAAATGAATAGTTATGGAGGTGGGACTTGAACAGCTTTTGAAGAACAGGTAACATTTCATTCAATCTGTGGGTATTAGACAGAATGGCTATACTGGGGCCCAGAGATGGGTGGGGAAAAGATGAGAATACTTATGGAGCCCCTGAAAGTTTCTCAGCAGTAAGTTTTTAGATAGGTATCATTAGCAGTATCAGACGGACTTTATTTTAAGTGTATTGGATTTCAACAATTACTGAATGAATAGTTTAGGTTGGGGGTGTGTGTTTTTCTGTGCAGATCAGCACAATTCTTTAAAAGATGAAAATTAAATAACCTGACAGGATTTGAAATAGTATAAGAAAGTCTGCAGATTTAAAGTTCCTAGAGAGTTAGAAACTATAAGGTCAGAGAAATTCTTCCATGAATGGGAATTACACGTAACTGAAAATATTTGTTTACACCAAAATCTTTCCATTCTTTCGTTTCCCTAAAGAAGAAAATTTGGGTAGAAAGGTAAGAACATTTTATTTCAGATATTTAATTCCTACAATTTTCCATTTGGGGAATTCTTTTTTTCTTTTTTTAATTATACATATAACAGTCTTCCTATTTTAAGTGTCTTGAAAGTTCAATATTTCTGAGAGATAATTAGGATATAAATTAAATTTTTTACTGAGCTCAGTGAATTTGTGTCAACGCCAGCTGCTCTCATTGTAGATGAAGGTAGAGAGCTCCATCCCTGCTGGGCTCCCCTTCCTGGCAGACAGAACACCTGTAGAGTGAATGGGCAGAGCCTGGCTGCAGGGCTATTCCTCTGATGCAGAAGGTTATTATCTTTTAACTGTGTTTGGAGTGAGAGTTTGACTCTTCTGTTGAAAATGGAGATTTGAATAAAGCTGTTCACTGAAACTAAGATGTGAAATCATGTAGATAGCCAGACCTGAGTTGGAATCCTAGCTCTGTCACTAATTACATGTATGATTTTAAACAATATTTTTTCTTTTTAAACTATGCTGTATTAAAGGGTTCTATTCTACACCTCCGGAATGTATGGGTAGAAACAGGCAGGTTAACTCCATTGAACTTAATTTGTTCATCTGTAAAGTGGGGATAATATTAGTTGGAACTATAAGAGCCAGTGTTCAACAGTTTTGACCTACAGGGACGGTCATTTCGTTTAGTTCAACCAAAAAGTTCCTTGCAAGGTGATTTAGGTAAGGCATCAGTGACTGGTGAATACTCCACAGATTGGAGGTCTCATGTGTGCAATAAGCTCTTTACTAGTGATCCCAGAGCTCCCTAAAGGACGAGGACTCTGGTCAACTCATGCTGCTATTGTAACATAAGGGAACAGGCTTGGGCTGGGTCAAATCCACTATCACTTACCAGCTGCATGACCTGGGGCCAGCAGTTTACCCTTCCTGAGCCTCAGTGTGTGGTCACTCAATGAGAATGATGGCACTACTTGAAGTAGACAGATGAGATAATGTCTGTAAAGTTTTTGGCTAGGTGCCTTTCTTCATAACGAACACTTGATAAATGCTGGTTCTCCCTTCCCTGAAAGTGTGATCTTCAGGCTGGGGATGTGGCTCAAGAGGTAGCGCGCTCGCCTGGCATGCGTGCGACCCGGGTTCAATCCTCAGCACCACATACAAACAAAGATGTTGTGTCCGCCAATAACTAGAATAAATAAATAAGTATTTAAAAATTCAAAAAAAAAAGAAAGTGTGATCTTGGGGCCTTTCAGGCAAAGTGAAGAGGAACCTCTATGTTAATTCAAGATTCCATTTTTTCTCTTCATATATTTCTTGCCATTCTTAGAATTGTATTTGCTAGAACACAGAGAAAACCTTCAAGGTAATTTTTCTAGCTCCTTAATTTTATGGAAGTGATAGATGCCCAAATTTACACAGTGAACTAGGAACAGATCTGGCTCCAAAACCATGACTCCTGACTTCTGGGCTGGAACTGAATCCTAATGGAACAAGTGCCCAATTTGTTATAAACTCTGTCCAGGGAATAAGAGAAACTTGGAGTGTTTTTCATTAATATTTGTATACAGTACACCAGAGAGAGGGGTTGATTTATTAAGGTTATTTTTTAGTACTATAAAAAGGTATTGCTACACAACACCAGAATGGAGCACCAAGATTAAAATAAATATATATCCAAGAAAAATTCAAAGAGGAAAATATTGTAGATACATACATGTAAGGTTAAGAGGAAAGAGTATAAGGAATGGAGCCAGGCAAGGTGGCACATGCCTGTGATCCCAGCGGCTCTGGAGGCTGAGGCAGGAGGACTGTGAGTTCAAAGCCAGCCTCAGCAAAAGTGAGGTGCTAAGCAACTCAGTGAGAATCTGTCTCTAAATAAAAAATATGAAAAATAGGGTAGGGATGTGGCTTAGTGATCAAGTGCTCCTGAGTTCAATCCCTGACAACCCCTCCCCCCCCAAAAAAAAAAAGAGTATAAGGAATGGGAGTAGGTAAACAGGAAAAAAAATGCCTCTTTTCTGTACAAATCAGAGATTTAGATTAGTTCAAATCCAGGCTACTAATCCAAGCCTTAATGATTGAGGAACTCTCTTTCTGGAATCAGTTATCCTTAAATATTGAAGTGTGGCATTTAACGTGGGATTGAAGCAAATAAGCAGCTTTGAAAACACTGTTTTCTAGGTCGTCTGGACCCCTCAGGTGCTCTCAAATGGCGTCCAGTTCTCCCGCATCAGTCCAGCTGGTGAGGAAGGCTACCCTGGAGAGTTAAAAGTCTGGGTGACATACACCCTGGATGGTGGGGAGCTCGTGGTCAACTTTAGAGCACAAGCCAGTCAGACCACACCAGTCAGTCTGACCAACCATGCTTACTTCAACCTGGCCGGCCAGGTAAGTGAACTCGCTCCTTCTCTCCTGCTGTAACTTGCTTCGTGGAATAACCAGGGACTGTGACTGGAGAGATCAACCCAGTATGGACTTACTCTGGTCCTGACAATGATGAAAAGAGCCCAGGAGAGCATCTGGCTCATAGTAGGTGTTCAATAAATGGAAGTCATAGAGGAAGAAGATGGAATGAATACATTGTACTGTCAAGAAGGGTATCTGTTCCCGTGGCTATTTCAAGAACTCACTCTCATCTGATTGCAGCATGTGCTCACATCTGCTTCCCTTATTGTACTCCTACATCCCCCTCCAGTTACTTCCATTTAAGGAAGCAGATATAATCCTCCCAATTATACTTAAACCAGCCCCTTTAATATTTGTGTACTCCCACTGTGCAGCCCACCAGCTCCTTCCAGGGATTCTGGTGGCCAGTCATGCCCTGCACAGGACAGTAGAAAGAGCATTAGACCTGGATTTAGAAGACCTGGAGGTTTTTGTTTTGTTTTGGTTTGGTTTTTTTTAGAATAAGAGGCATGTTCTTTGTTCTTAATTTCGTAATAATAGCTACCTATTATTTATCAGCCCCTGTCAGAAGCACTTTATGAAGTTGTCAGTAAAGACATTGAAATCAACCCAGCCCAGGGATAAGCCCCAGAAGGAGGACTCTTAAAATGTCTCCCTACAGGTGGCAGAGAGCCACTGACAGTGCCCTTGAGCGATCCCCTCTAAACCACATCATTCCCTTCGAAAGGGAACATTTCAGCTTATTGAGGAGCCTATCACAGGAGGCAGAAAACAGGCTGAGCCCAACTCTGTAGATTCTATCTGTTACTTCCTCATTATCTGAAGAAATCATGGTCCACTCAACTTGAATCACGTGGGCATGATTTCCTTCAAGCCTATGTACAGCCAACAAGTATTAGCTTACATTTTTGTCCTCCCCAACTTTTACGAATTTGCTGCTGATTTTTAGGGGTGTGTGTGGGTAATTTTCTTAAATAACAGAGGTAATTGGTTCTGATAAAATTTCCAAAGTTTTCCCTTTAAAAATAAGAAATATAGGTCTTCCCTTGTTTGATCTTATCTCCAGAATATCCATCATCCTTCCTGAAATCTGAAAACTAAACCAAAAGCTAAGAACAAAAGAAAAACACCCATTCTTAAGAGGATCTACTTTTTTAAATGGGTTCAGAAAGGGCAGAAATAGAGAAAGAAAAGCAAAACAAAACAAAACACATTATATTGTTTTAGGTAGATAGTAAATTGTGATGATTTTTCTGTTTTCTGAATTTTGATAGGCTTAGGACATATTATTTTATAACCTTGGGAATGATCTAAATGAATTGATTCAGAAATAGAAAGAGAAATTACACATGAAGTATTCCATCTGCCAGTGTTCTTCCAGTGAAGGAGATAAAATGGGAATTTGAGGTTTACTAAGGCCCTTTGCATTTGTCACCTTTCTAATCCTGCAGGGACTTGGAGTGGCAGATATTTCTGAATCTCTTTGCAGAGGATGAATAGTTTCCTAGATCAGAGATCCTACCCAGAAGAGCAGTCAATATAAACCTCCCTTCTTAGACTGTCTTAGTAAGTGCAGCTCAAATCTACAACCACCAGCCTCAGCATTAAGAGCACCAGCCTTTGGGGGCACTTGGGTAGGAATGGATGGTCACTAGGCCTGGGGTCAAGAGCCACTGCATATTCAGAACATCCCTTGCCCTATCCTGGGAAGCATTATCACATGTCAAGCCCTCTCCAGGGAAACACTTCAAAACATTATATTTAAAGTAATTAGCTGGGATGTGGTTCACTGGTAGAGCACTTGCCTAGCATGGACAGGCTCTGGGTTCAATTCCTAGCACCTAGCACAAAAATAATAAATGAATAAAGTAGCCAGCTCATGTTACATCTGTTCACTTTTTTTGTTTTCTAAATCTAACAAATGGTATTTTTGTTCTATTTTGGGGCCCAAGCATTGGCTTGCTACTTCTAGTTTGTGTGTTGGGGGGTCTGAGAGGTAGGATGTGAGAACTGTTTGAAACTTAACCTAAAGACCTCTGAAAGCAGGCCTAGTGGAATTTGGGATGAAAAGCAATAGCTGTGGTTCTGGTATGACTAGGTAGATAACGTCATCAAGGAACCAAGTTCTTCCATTTTTCCGTTCTACTTCCTCAGTGTCTTGGCTTTTTTTTTTTTTTTTTTAGTTGTTGTTGGACCTTTATTTACTTATATGTAGTGCTGAGAATCGAACCCAATGCTTCACACATGCCAGGCAAGCACTGTACCACTGAGCCACAACCCCAACCCAGTGTTTTGGTTTTTGTCTTCAGGTTTGTCCCCATCAGTCACAGGGTGGTTGCTACAGCTCCAAGAGTTACCTCCTCATACAGTCACCCCCAGAGACAAAAGAGGATGTTTACTTTTTCATATCTCTAATGTTTCTTTTCTAAGAACAAGTACAACCTTGTTCTTAGAAGCTCCTGGAAGACTCACATTTCATTGGCCAAAAGTGTGACTCATTCTCTGCCAACGGGAATCTGAGACTGCCATGATTAATCTAGACCAACCAAAATTTGGCCTCTAGGGCTCGGGAAAATGTTCCTTGCCTGAATCTATGACTTAACATAGATAAATCAACAAGTCAAGTTTCTCCCAGGAGAAAGGGAGGGTACAGGTGAAGGGAAAGGCACTATGACTTCTGGGCAGTAGTCAACAGTGTCTGTTACTCCTGCTAAACACATTAAAAGATGAATTAAGGCAGAAACTGTGGCAATGAACAGAAAAGGTTTTAAAATCTCTATTCAAGTTGTAATGGGCTTTGTAAATGGCTAATGTTACAAACTGGTATTAATCAAGCAAAGTTCACCAAAACACTGAACTCAGAGATGGATCTCAAGATTGTTTGTGAGTCAACATTTCTTGCCAAGTGTTCATCAACCTTGAACGGAAATGGGTCTAACAGTAATATTCCACCAGAGTAGATCATTGGAGTTTTCCAGCCAGAAGAGGCGTGAACTGAATCATGCTTCTCTTTAAGGAAGGGATATTAGTGCTACTTGGTGACCCAGAGGCCACTGGGAGCACAGTAAGCATCTTTTCCTACTCCTCCCAGCTTCTTCCTAAAATGTCAGACTCATCCATTTTTTTTGCAATGTGACTTTTTTTGTTAATTCATTTTCCTCCTGCCCATTGCTTTAAACAACAAAACAAAAAAGAAAAAGAGAAAAGGAAACTCCTAAGCAGTCTTGTTCATGATAGTGAAACACTATAAACAATCCACAAGTCCATCTACCCATCAGGAGAATGGGTAAACAATTGGTGACATAATGGTATAGTAGAATATTATCAACAGTAAAAAGGACCAAATTACTGATCCAATAACATGAGTGATCTCAAAAACCTTATGAGACACAAAAGAATATCTACCGTAGGATTCTATTTACGGGAGGTTCTAGAACACGTACAACTCAGCTATGCTCATAGAAATCAGAATAGCATCCTGGTTATAAATGGGCATTTATCTTAAAACAAACAAACAAACAAACAAAAAGAATGGAAGGAGGCAGGCACCTGTGGAAATTGAGTGAAGACCTGATAAATGCTAGGCTAGGAGTCATCTCCTGCAGGCTTTGCTCACTGGATGGTGTAGGAGAGGTTGTGTGTCTCAAGCCTCATATATGCAAAGAAAGGATGGAGGTGTTCTTTTGGTCGGGCTGTCCTTTCCTGGGACTCTTCAGTCCTCTATGTGGGCTGTAGATGTCAATCTAATACCATCATGGCTTTGCACTCAACCTTCCTTGCTGCTGCCTGGACTGAATAAAACCTTCCAAGTTAGGGCTGGGGGTAGCTCAGTGGTAGAGCGCTTGTTTGGCATATGCAAGGCCCTGGTTTCAAACCCCGGCACTGAAAAACGAAGCAAAATAAAACCCTCCTGTTGAACTGAGCATTGAACAAATAGAGCTGGGGAAATAGTTCTAAATTCCCCTTCTCATCTTTCCTCCCTTTAGTCCTAAAGGCCTCCTGGGTGCCAGCACCACCCTGGTAAAAGAGGATGGCAGTAGGGAGGAGCCTCTATCCAGGAGAGACACCCTGATGTCTTGAGCTACACTGGACCTGGGTGCACGCCACCTCCCATTTTGGACCTGCCTTCTCAAGTCAGAACAGGAACCAAAAAAGTGGCTAAGAGAGGAAGCATGAGCAGCAGAGAGCTCTCTGTCCTCATATTGTCCCCATTTCCTCCTACCCCAGCCCAGCACAAACCCACTTTCTCTCCCAGGGGATATCAGTTCTGCAGCAGCAGAACCTTCTAGCAGTGTCATTAAGCCAGTTTTTGCCACATATCAACATGGAATCTCTTGGTCCCTAAATCTTGTTCTTTTGCCTTAAAATGGCTCCATTTGATTGTGTGGCCTGAATCTTTCTCGTCATAGAATCTGCATCCCGTCAGCCTGCAGCCCTCCGCCCCTCTGCCCCTCTGCTTACCTCTCTGCAGCTCAGCAGCAGCTTCAGTTTAGCTTTGCTCAGGGTTTCTCAGCCACTGACATTTTGGGCCAGATAATTGTTTGTTGTGGTGGAGAGAGGGTGGGAAGGCTGATTGTTGAGCTTCACTAAGCAAAAGCCCTCTCTTGGTTCCTCTTTCCCATCTTGTGTTGTGAAGCTTTAAAATATGTTACTATGGATAATAAAAATAATCCTTTGCATTAAAAACATACATGTATAAATTTATGTTCCGATTTGCAAGTAGCCCTTACTAAACTGTGCCTCACAAAAATCCTAGAAAAAGTGGGATCATCATAATCCCAATTTTACACACACAGAGAGAGAGAGAGAGAGAGAGAGAGAGAGAGAGTATTCCAGAGGTTACATGACTTCCCTAGTGAGTGGAAACTAGATTCCAAGCCTTCTGACCACTGACTCAGGTTTCCTGTACTAGCTTTTTTTTTTTTTTTTTTTTGCAGTACTAGGGATCAAACCAGGGCCTTGCACCCTGAGCTACTTCTGCAGCCATTTTTATTATTTATTTATTTTTATTTTTATTTTTTATTTGGAGACAGGTTCTCAGAAGTTGCTCAGGCTGGTCTTAAATTTATGATTCTCCTGCCTCAGACTCTGGAGTAGCTGGGATTACAGGTGTGCACCACCTTGCCTGGCCTATACTAGTGTTTGACTCTCTCAAGGAGGCAACACAATTTTGATTCTTGGGCTTCTGTCATGTGGCAGGGAGTGGAGCCTCTAGATGGGAGCTGGGAGAGGGGTGACAGGTGTCCCCCTCTAGTGGGCCTGGAGGCAGTGCCTTGACCACCCAGGACTTGAGTACTGGGTGAGTGATCCTTTCTCCTCCCTGTGCCTGCTATCTGACAGAGTAGCAGAAACCCCTCCATTAAAAAGCGGGAGCTAAAAGGCTTCCTAGCCACTGTGGTCTCCCTGACTTCTCACCTTCACATTCCACTTAGAAAAGAAAATGCATGCTGGGGTCACACGTTGAAAGCTTCTCTCACATGTGTCAGTGGTTGTTTGGAGGCCCCCATCTACCTACACTAAGATGACCCTGTTTAGTCAGTATCATTGGTCAACTGGATTTCTAAAGTTTTTGTCAATGCCTGAAAACATTTTTACAAAAAATGTTACAAAGCAAATATGTAAAAGACTAAACAGTAAGTCCTTTTTTTTTTCTTTTTCCTTTTCCCTCCCAGGGGTCCCCAAATATATATGACCATGAAGTCACCATAGAAGCTGATGCTTACTTGCCTTTGAATGAAACCATGCTTCCTACAGGTTAGTGAATTTAAACATTTTTATGTAACATAGTGTCACAGATTAGATTCCGAGACCAAGACAGGACATTAGTAGAGAAACTGGTAAAATCCTAACAAATCCTATCATTCCGTTAATAAACTTATTCCAGTGTTAATTTCTTAGTTTTTGATATTTGTATCATGTTTATGCACGATAGGCTTCCCTCAATGTACTATTTTTACCACATTTCTGTGAATTAAAATTATTTCAAAATTTAAGTTAAAAACAATCAGTGTAAGAAAGTACTTCAAGTTTACAGAATACCTGCCCTACACCAGGCAGGGACTTTTGTTTTAGTTTAGACTCTTTAAAACAAAGAAGTTGTATTTATGGCTGCTGGTTTAACATTTTTATAAGGAAAAAGATAAACATGTGAGCCTGTGTACTCAACAGTGACTTGAGTTAACAGCAGCAGTTAGAAACTTCCATAAATACAGTGACCATAAAACTAATTGGAATAATAATGAGAAATTGAGATAGATGAGTTAAAATTTTTGTCATCACAGTTTTGAGTGTTTTCCTGCTCCAAGACTGGATTTAAAGGCTTTTATGTTTGTCTTGGTAATATGTGTCATCTTTTGATATTTAAGTGACTCAATAGATGAGCATGAGTAAGCTGGCCCATCTTTTTTTAAAAATTGATGCATTATAATTATACATAATAGTGAGATTTATTATGCATAATTTGATCAATTTGATTCCCCAGTAAAGTTGTCTCATTTTGTCCTGGATGCAGAATTATTGCATTACAACTGTATATTGTCATTTATAAGGAAAAAAATAACCTGACTGCTATAATGGACTGATAAGGAAGAAAGTGAACTAAGTAGCTTATAAATGCAGGTTTTGAAATAAGTGCACATTTATTTGTCTATATTTATAAAATATTCTTATGCTATATCCTGTTGTTTTGATCATATGAAAAGTGCAAAAATGCATGATTCATGCTATGTAAAGATTATCTGCCAGGGTTTTAAAAGATCATTGTGGGGGCTACAGTTGAGCCTTACAGTCCATTAGAGTTCTATCATGATAACAAATAAGTTGCAGTAACTTCAGAGCTCATGAAAAATTATAATTCTCTGCTACCTGTCTATATGTTCACCAGTTCTACATGTTATGTCTGTTTGCCCCATAATACTCAAATGAAAATTATATGATTCCTTTGGAATAGCCTCCAAAAATGGGTGGTAACTGCTACTTGGCACCTTAGTGATGAAAGAATTCACATCTAGCCCATTTTCAGTTGAGAACAAAATCTCTAGGAGCCCAGATTTCATCTGACTCTTAACATTGACCAAAAAACCTGAGCAAGTGGTTTAATTCTTTTTTTTGAGTTGGGGGGATTGAACCCACGGGCACTCTATCACTGAGCTACATCCCCAGTCCTTTTTTTTTTTTTTCTTCTTAGGTATACATGACAATGAGTATATTTTGACATATCATACATACATTGATATAACTTATTCTAATTAGGATCCCGGTCCTTTTTATTTTTTATTTTGAGATGTGCTAAGGCTCACTTTGAATCTACAATCCTCCTGCCTTAGCCTCCCAAGCCACTGGGATTACAGGCATGCACTCTTTTTTTTTTTAAATTTTTGTTTATTTATTTATTTATTTTAGTCATACATGACAGTAGAATGCATTTTGATATATAATACATACATGATATGTACATACATCAATCACATTGTCTATTCTATTCTGCTGCCCTTCCTATCCTCCCTACTCCTCCCCTCCTCTCCCATCCTTTGTCTCTATCCAATCTAACACACTTTTTTTTTCCTTTTACTCATTACAACATCATATATATATTCTGTATAACAATGAGGTTCTCCTCCCATCTTCTGTGCAACTCCCCTTCTCCCTCTTTTTCCCTCCCACCTCTCTTCCCTATTTAGTGGTAGTCTTCTTCTCATGCTCTTCCTCCCTATCCCATTTTGAGTCACCCCACTTATATCAGAGAAGACATTCGGCATTTGTTTTTTAGGGATTGGCTAACTTCACTTAGCATGATCTGCTCTAACACAGGCATGCACTCTTGTGCCCAGGTGCAACTTACTAATTCTAAAATCACTACAAAGGGCCTGTCCATCATTTGGGCATTCAGAAATGCCTTTCCAGGGCTGGGTTGTGGCTCAGGGGTAGAGGCCCTAGGTTTGATCCCCATTACTGCAAAACAAAACAAACAAAAACCAGAAATGGCTTCCCTGTGCTCCTGGGAGAGTTAAATACAAACTGGAAGGTCAAGTGAGAGTTTGTTAGGCAGTGAGGAAAGAAAGGTATTCTGGATAAAGAGGAGTAGATCTGGGAAGTTCAGGAAACAGCAGGACTCTCCCAGGGAAGTGCTGCTTCTGAAGCACCAGGCTGCACCACGCTCAGCATGGCATAGATTAGATGGACCACATCAGATCTGCTGAAGTGCCTAGGTTGGCCCATGGTGACCCCAGTCTGGCCTGGAATTCAAGGTCAACCTACACAGAACAGACTGAAAGGTGGGACCAAATGCACTGTCAAACTTCCTGGTATTCAGCCAGACGTGGACTGAACACACAAGGCCACTTTCTTGTGATGCACTTAGGAACCTGTTAGACCAGCCACACTCCATTAAGACTTCTGGATCGATGTGCAGTATCTAGTGATGTAGAGATTGTAGTTTTGTTGAATTGAGATAATAACTTGTGAGATGAGATGAAGGTTTATGACACTAATAGCTAGTATTTCAAAGGAACACTATAAATAATTCCTACTGCAATCCTTCCTGTTAGGTGGATTGTGTTCATTTTCTTATTTAACAGATATGTAAACTGTTGAACTTAAATAATTGTTGAATTTAAATAACTCAGTGAGGCCATGGTTAAGGTATGGTTTGACTGTGTTCCCCAAAGGCTCATGTGCTAAAGGTTTGGTCCCCAGAAGGCAGGGTATAGGAGGTGGGGCCTCATGCAAGATAATGAGGTCATAGGACACCATCCTCATAAGGGATGAATAGCAGCCTCTCAGAATGAGTTTGTTCTCCTGAAAGAGAATTGTTGTAAAGGGAAGTCACCTCATCCAACTGGCCTCTTCTGCATGCAGCCAGTTTCCTTCCTGCTTCTCTGCCATGTTGTGTGATAGCTAAGGAGGCCCTCACCAGAGGCCAAACAGATGGGGCCACCTGATCTTGGACTTTGAGCCTCCCAAACTGAGCTAAATGATCCTCTTTTCTTTGTAAGTACAAAGCCTCAGGGTATTTTGTTATAACAATAGAAAACTGGACTAATACAGAGAATCACCCAGTTAACAAATGGTGGAAAACTGAGATTCACACCAAGTAGTCTGAGATTAGAACTTGGGCTCTTGGGCTAGGGGCATAGCTCAGTGATACAATCCTTGCCTAGCATGCATAAGACTCTAAATCTAATCCTCAGCAAAGCAAAACAAACAAACACCCAAAAGCATACTCCCATGTTAAATGTCAAGAACATTTGGGTCAGGTGTGATGGTGCACATCTATATTTACCAGCTACTTGGAAGGTTGTAGCAAGGAGATTGTAAGTTTGAGGCCAGTCTGGGCAGTTTAGTAAAACCCTATCTTAAAATTAAAAAAAAAATAAAAACTGAAAGGGCTGGGGAGGTAGCTCAGAGGTAGAACCCTTACCTAACTTAAGCCAGGGCCTAGGTTCAATCCCCAGTATTTAAAAAAAAAAAAAAAGATTTGGGATGATGAGGAAGGGTAAGAAAGGAAAGAAAGAAAATAAATTAATCTCTTGACTCTATAGATACCCAAGACCACCATATAGTCAAGAAATGAGAAATAAGCAAAAAAACAAAAACAAAAACTGTTAATAGTTGTCAATTCTCATTTCTTTTGTCACCTTTGTACAAGAAACGTCACAGCTTCTCTCGCAATTGTTCCGTTTTTCCTTCTGTTCAACTTATTTCTAGTTTGCTGCAAAGAGAACAAAACACACAAGTTTTTTCACATTTTATTTTAAAAAGGGAAAGAGGGGGAGGGAAGAATTTTCCTGAAGTTAAAAGCATGAGTTTAAGTGTGTGGCTTTGTCAGCCCAACAAGGAGGGAATCAGAAAAAGAACAACTCCAAGGCAGGTAAATGGAAGCTCAAAATTCTTCTCTGTGCCCCTGAGTAGGCTCAGAGCTGCAACCAACTGTGTTTGGCAATGCATCCCTGGTCTTGCTGGTTCTTGGTTTTCTTATCTGCAGAATCTTACTATGATCATATTGAAAGTTTACTTACTTAAGTATGTGGGGTGTGTGTGTGTGTGTGTGTGTGTGTGTCATTTCTGTTGAAGATGACAGGAAAATCATTTGATAGACAATTCACAAACATAGTAAAATAAAAGCTTTACCAGTTACAGGATAGCCTTCAGCTATCTGGAGAATTCACTTACTAGGGGACTTATTTGCCCAGCAGGGACACCGGGTAACAAGTTCACTTCAGACGCTCTGCTCTCCCTGGCTTTCTTGGGGCTGCTGATCTGTTGTGGTGAAGCCCTTAGAAGTCAGCAGTAAAAAAAAAATCATTAACAACTTTGGTCTTCTTGCATATGAGTGGCTCTTATTCACAAATCGGTTATTTTGCTCACTCTCCTAATCCTCTGCTCTGCACCCCAGATCCTGGCTTGTATGTTTGTTTTTCTCTCTTCCTGGGCCATAAAAATTCTCAGAACTCCTGGAGAGAAAACTATTATTATCATTGTAGCAGAAAAGAGGCTGAGCACCAAGAACTCTTTAACAGGTAACAATCAAATCTGAAAAAGTGGCACATGCAGAAGCATTTGTAGTGGATGTGAGGGAAGCTGGGGCAATATTTTAATGATCAGGTCATCTACATTTCTTGAATTTAGTGTGATGTAATCTGACAAATAACAATGTCTAGAGACTCATCTGATTTGATCCTACTGACTGTCTGCAAGTCCTCTGGGGATCCTCCTAAAATTGTGCTTCACACAAAAGTGTTTTAATAGCTCCCCCC